TCATTAATTTACATACGTTGAACATTTCTGTATTCCTGGGATGAAACCCACTTGGTCATGATACAAAATCTTCTTGGTAATTTGCTGCATTCTGTTTACTGGTATCTTATTGAAGATTTCTGCATCCATATTCATTAGAGAGATTGACCTGTAATTCTCTTTGTTAGTTGGCTCTTTCTCTGGTTTCTGTATCAGGGTAATTATTGCGCCCAGGAATGAATTTGGGAGTATTGCTTCATTTTCAATTTTGTTGAAGAATAATAGCGATTAATGTATCATCATTATTACAAAAATATTATTCAAGTTTTGTGTTGGAAAGGCTAGTGGAGAAAGCATTGTAGGGAAGTCCATATTTCAGAAACTTCATTTCCCTACTCCCATGTCTCAGGGCTTATGTTACTTCAAATTGACTTAAGTTCTTTATCATCTGATTAAAATGTTACTGTTGGGGCCGGGGAGATGGCTCAGTGGAATAAGTGCTTCCCTGGCAAGCGCAAGGGCCTGAGTTCAATCCCTGGTTCTGCAAAAAAAAAAAAAAAAAAAAATGTTACTGTTGAATTTTTATTTAAGCGATAATGAAGTATTTTTGCTAGAATAAGAAATCTGGTGTGCTGCTGATGAAGAAACTCCACTTTTATGCAAATGTTCATAAATAAAGGCAAACAGATATAAATGAATAGGAAAATTCTTATTAGAAATTTGCTACTTAAATATTTAATATATAATTTATGCTCAAAAAATTTAGTTGAGATTTGATCTGAATAACAATACAAATATCCTTAGTATACTTAAAATATTTCACCATTGGGAATTGGGTAGTAGATGAGAGTATAGATGAGTCAAACTTTTCTTATTTTTGACCACTCTTACTCTTTGACAACCTTTTCTTAGCTTTCCATGTGTGATTTTCTATGAATAGAGTTGTTTTAGTTTCTTTCAATGTCATCTTCAGTAAGTATTATGCATGTTGCACAGGGAAATATTTTGGAACCTTTTCGCATGTCGCTATTCACAATTCCTGATGTATCAGTCCAGGGAAAACTACATTCTCATGAATTCTATTGGTCATGACGTTCAAGATTTTTCAACTTTACTAACAATAATTACATGTATCTACAAGAATAATAACTCTGGATGTTGGGAAAAAGTTACTCGTCTGTTGATTTTGGCAAATTCTAAGGGAACGAAGATGAGTATTCTGTGTATCAGTTGGTTCTCCTTCTTGATACCATACGTACTGTGCTCTTCCACACCTCAGTTTTCTTTGATTTGGTTTTGTTTTCTATTCAGTCTTTCTCTTAAATGATATATGGTTTATATATTTGAGGGATTTGTGTACATTGATCTCTACACTCTATGTAAAATTTTTGTGTTGTATACATAGCAAATATTATAGTCTTTTTAATTTCCCATAGTTCTCATAGACTTCAATTTCTCCTAATTCTGATAGCTACTTGTTTTCTCTGAGGAAACTTTTCTTCTATCTAAAGATATTTCATAATAACATCTTAAAGCATTTATGTGTTTATTTCTCTTTTCAGTATAATTTATTTAGATAAAATAAGATTTTTTTTTTTTTTTTTGTGATGGCTCAGGCTGCCTGAAGGGCAGGGCTAGCTGGGGATAGAACTGAGGTATCCTGCTCCTGACTGCCTTTGCATGAGCAGGCGCTTAAACAACTGAGCTAAGGGCAGGCCCCTTATATAGATAAAATAGAAGAGCATACACTTTAGTTTTCCAAGGACATAGCTTTCTTCCAGAACATAAGTAAAACATTGTACTTACTTTCAGATATGCTTAATACAAGATGCATCATGGATCACTATTCTATTTACATATGGATTCTTAGAAGGTTTCCTTTCTTTCCTGAGATTTGATGTTTTCCCTACAAAATTCAGATTGTAAAAGAAAATGTGCAACCTGAAAGTGTTTTATGTAAAGTTTGCAAGGTTTGACCTTGCTCACAAGGTGTTGAGTATTGCCTTCTGTTATGCTGCACAGTTGTAATATTTTGAATAGAGCAAAGGAGTGACTTGTAGGTCACACAATATTTTCTTTGAGTTCTTTTGTAAGGCTGTGTGACACAATGTCTCGGTTTCAAATCTTTTTTTTTTTTTTTTAATGTATTTGGTTGCTACAGGGCTTCATTATGCAGGCTAGACTCATAGTGATCCTCTTGTTTTTCAGCCTCCCCAGCAATGGGATTATAGGTGTGTGCCACCAGGCCTGGACTCTGTGGCTAACTCAGCCTGCTGTGGTGGCAGGGCTAGTGTAGCTTGTGGTGCTGGGCATTGAACCGTTGTCCCTGCACTTGCATAAGCAGGTGATTTAGTCTGCTGCACTGTCTCACTGGCCCCTCAGTTTGAAATCATGACTGGCCAGGAAGTCACCTCATAGCTAGGGCTGAACCCCTGACAATCATCAGACTTACTGAAATCCTCCTACTTCAGCTTCCCAAATCCTGAGTTTAGTCATGGGTACCATCACACTTGGCTGAAGTATTTCTTTTGTAGTTAGTGCCTAATCACTTTGTGATATCTTTCTTTTAAATGTGTTTAATATGTTTCATACATGTTCTTCGTCCTCATTAATCACACTTAGACAATCCTAGGATTTCTTATATCTGAGTGCAAGATGATCACTCGATATCACTGTGGTATATGATAATATGCCAACCAGCTTTTGTCCCCCATGTGGTGCTGCTGGGTCTGCAGGTCTGTGTAGAGCCACGGACGTTGGTCTATATTACACAGGATAGATTTTGTTAAGGTTGTCAAGAATAAGGCCTACTTTAAGAGATACCAAGTGAAGTTTAGAAGACGATGAGGAAAAAACTGATTACTATGCTAGGAAACACCTGGTAATGCAGGACAAAATAAGTACAGCACATCTAACGACAGGATGATAGTTTGTGTAACTAACAGAGATAACATTTTTCAGATTGCTTATGCCCATATTGAAGGGGATATGATAGTCTGTGCAGCGTATGCACGTGAACTACCAAAATACGGCGTGAAAGATGGCCTAAGAAATTATGCTGCAGCATACTGTACTGGCCTGCTGCTGGCCCGCAGGCTTCTCAGTAGGTTTGGCCTGGATAAGATCTATGAAGGCCAGGTGGAGTTGGCTGGAGATGAATACAATGTAAAAAGCAAACCTGGTGCCTTCACCTGCTATTTGGATGCAGGCCTTGCCAGAGCTACAACTGGCAATAAAGTTTTTGGAGCCCTCCAGGTTGCTATGGATGGAGGCTTGTCTATCCCTCACAGTACCAAATGATTCCCTGGTTATGATTCTGAAAGCAAGGAGTTCAATGCAGAAGTACATCGGAAGCACATCATGGGTCAGAATGTCACAGATTATATGTGTTACCTAAGGGAGAAAGATGAAGATGCTTACAAGAAACAGTTCTCTCAGTCCATAAAGGACAGTGTAACTCCAGACATGATGGAGGAGATTTATAAGAAAGCTCATGCTGCTATACAGGAGAATTCAGTTGATGAAGAGAGAAGCTAAAAAGAAGAGGTGGAACTGTTCCAAAATGTCCCTTGCCCAGAAGAAAGATCAGGTAGCTCAAAAGAAGGTAAGCTTCTTCAGAGCTCAGGAGCAGGCTGCTGAGAGTTAAGCCAAATTTCTATGAAGATTTTTCAGATAAAGACCAATAAACTTATTCATCAAGCCAAAAAAAAAAAAGCCAACCAGACCCTATTTTCATTTTATATTTAGACTTCCTCCAAGAATACTGGTTTTTTCCATTAGCATTTTAATACTGTTAATAATCCTTCCATCATTTCTTTTTTTTTGTTGGTACATTTTAGATAAACAGTAATAACATTCATCTTGGGAATTTGTACTTGTCATCTTTTTCTGTCTATCTCCTGCCATCCCTTTAGACCTTTCCCCCTCTTTAGGTATAAAACTGTTTTTCCTCTTTGTCTTTCTATTCTTTTTATTGATTCTGCTTTCCTTCAGCCACCCCTCTGTTCTTCAGATTTAAATATTTTCTTTTCAGTTGCCTCAAAAAATAAGGTAGAGGATCATTTGACCCAGCTATTCCCTTTCTTGGTCCCTCCCCAAAAGAATTAAAAGTAGCACACCACAGATCTGTATATCTATATCTATATCCATATCTATATCTATACTATATACTGGCAGAGTTTGTAATAGATAAATCTTGTAAAAGAGGCTCAATGTGAATCAGCAGTTGAATGGATAAGAAAGATTTTTTTTTTTAATACAACAGAGTATTACTCGGCCATACATAAGGATGAACTTGAGACATTACTAGCTAAATGGGTGGACCTTGATAGCATACTCTGTAGGGAAGTAAATTTGAAACACATGTGTAAATATCACACAGTTTTTCTGGTGTGAAAAATCAGAAGTGTGAATAAGGAAAAAAATAGATATCCTTTACTTAATGTTCAATTAATTTCTTTTCTATGAAACCAGGTTAAGATTTCAAAATGCTGCTTATCTACAATACAAAAAGAATGACTTCTGTAAATAATGAGATTTGAAAAGTGCTGTAGTCTATGGCCTGTCACAAATCTTCATTAGGTATGTTTCTGTCCCCTTGTTTTGTAAATGATGATTTGTAGGTTGCTTCTATGAGCTGTGATTAAGAATCAGTGAGATAATACAACTCTGTGACCCTCTGGGCAACCAGTGCTACTTTTCCACTGTTGCTATATCAGGAAGAAGCAATGTAGCATCAGCATTTGTTGTGAAGGGCCAGGGAGATGGCTCAGTGAAATAAGTGTTTCCCTAGCAAGCGCAAGGGCCTGAGTTCAATCCCCAGGTCTGCCAAAAAAAAAAAAAAAAAAAAAAAAGAAAAGAAAGTATTTGTTGTGAAACTTCACTCCTACATATGGGTTTGATGACCAAGTTATGTAGTTTATATCTGAAGGAACTTTCAATTCAACTTTTACAAGAAGACTTCAAGTTTTAAGGGTATGAGTGTCAATCTTCTTTCAGGAAATATGTATGTGATTATTTAGGAGGCAGTGACCATGGAGGATGTAGCTGTGAACTTCACCAAGGAGGAGTGGGCTCTGCTGAATCCATCCCAAAAGAAGCTCTACAGAGATGTGATGTGGGAAACATTTAGGAATATAAATGCTATAGGTAAGGATGACATCATTTTATTACATATACAATGAGAGAACATTGGTTCTTGCCAGTGGGTACAGATTCATTAAATAGAATGTGAAAACAATTCATATATTTCAGGTCTTTTTACATCATACCATGAACCTAACAGCTAACTGCTAATTTTTATATAATGACTTTTTGTATTTATATGGTTGCAATTTAGGAAGAACTTGGGACAACCAGCAAATGGAAGAACATAAAAGCTGTTCAAGAAATCTAAGGTAATTTGTATTCAAAAGGAAATACAACACTTCTTAAGAGTCCTTATGTTAGCAGAAAAATTGTAAAATATCTTGACAAATTGGGCCACGTTCAAATTTTCCCAGTATACATACTGGTTGATTTTGTATAATCTGAGAGTTGGAAAAAAAAATTTTAGCATTAGAAACTAAGTTATTATTGATATCATGCCACAAGAGACACTTTGGTATGAAAAAAACTTCTTTCATGATCATAGATAGATAGGTAGATATTATCGGAAAAATTGCTCACCTCGAAGCAACATTCAAAATTTAATAAATGCTAGTGCATTAATAGATGTATATATCCTCCAGAGAATTTTATACATTCATTTTAAAAATTCTTACAGTTCACACTCACATGTTTCTGGTAGGAATAAAAAAATTCAACCATTTTTATATTCATTATACACTTGTGTCAAAAAGTAAAAATAAAAATTTTCATTTGATGTAGGCCAAACTCCCAATGCATATTCTAAAGGGATTTAAAAGTGTGATACCTTAGTGATTCATGTGTACTTATGTTCAAAGCACTATATGCATGGTATTCATAACAGTGAAGTTCTTGAAATAATTACAATACCAGAGAGCTGGTAAAAGCCTAGTTATGTATCATTATATATGTGGAAAAAAGAGAATGTGAGATAGGCTCCATATGGTGGTGCCTTCTTATATTCTGAGCTCTCTGGAAATTGGAGCCAGCTGGATGACAACATGAAGTTCATGCTAACCAAATGAATGGTCAATGAGAATCTCTTTCAGTAAAAAATATAAGGGCAGTGAGATAGCTCCATGGGCCAGCGCTGGGGAGGTTGAAAACAAGAGGATCACTATGAGTCCAAGATGCATAGTGAGACCTGTACCAAATATATAAAAATTAAAAATAAAAGAATATGAAAACAAGAAATGCATTTTATTGCTTGGATATTTATTTCTCAGAATTGAAAAAAAAAGTATGTATTCAGCCATAAAAGAACATATCATATTTTTCTGGCACAAAAAAAGAGATGAGACAGTATCTCACAACATTAAATGCAGTGAGTTAGATGCAAAAAGTGAATTATCAAGTGATATATATATATAATGATATATATCATATATTATGATATGTCTATATATTATGATATATATCATATATGTTATATATGATATATTAAAGTATAAATTAGGGGGTAAAGTTAAGTGATAGATAGGGGCTTCTTAATAAACATATCAAATGATAATATGTGATACATATTTGAATTAATGACTTAGATGTAACTTGACTTTATGTGTCACAAACCCATCAATTTAAAATTCACTAAACAATACTATACTTTAGTATATGTGCTGCCGAAGCGAGCACAATACTATACTTTAGGAAATACGTGTTTTAGAGGCATGCTGCAGGGCTTTCAGCCAATTTGTTTGGAAATTTCTTAGTAGGTATTAAGCCAGAACTTTCCCCAGTAAATTATTAATTTGGACACATTTTATTGTGATTGATATTTTGTTTCTTTACAGAGATGAAGAGCTACCCAAATGCTGTCAATATGCACCTTGCAGTCAACATGAAAACATATTTCTTCAGACTCCAGATGCTAATGTGGGCATGAAAGAAGCTGCTTTAAAGCAAGCCAGCAGTCTTATTTATAGAAAGCCCCTGAATGGGCACTTATCGTTAAATGTGCCAATTTTACATCACAGTAGAGAGAGGCCACATGAATATTTGAGTTTTGATGACCAGCTAAGTAACTACAATGAACATGGAAAATCTTGCAGTGATTTCCAGTCCTTTCAGAAGCATGCAAGTGGAAAGCCTGGAGAGAAACTCTATTCATATCAGCAGTGTGTGAGTTCCTCCTCTGAACTTGGTGAAAAAATGCACCCTGGACAGAACACCATTGTTGATCAGAAAAGTGTGAAAGCTTCGAGCACCTCTAGTGCTTTTCAAATGCAAGAGAGAATTCCCAGTGGGAAGAAACCATATATAAGCAAAGGATATGGAAAAGCTTTCAATACTCAAAGTTGTAAAATTCATGAGAGGATTAACATGGACAAGAAACCTTATGTATGTTCTAAAACATTCCATACACACAGTTGCTGCCAAAGACATGAAAGAATTCACAATGGGGTAAAATCCTTTATAAGTAAGCAATTTTGGAAAACATTTAATAGGTATTCTCAATGTCAAAATTATAAAGGTGCTCATGATGGGGAGAAACCTTATGTATGTAAACAGTGTGGGAAAGCTTTCACTACTCGCAGGTATTGTCAAATACATGAAAGAAATCACACAGGGGAGAGCCCTTATGTATGCAACCACTGTGGGAAGGCATTCCCGACACACCAATCTTGCCAAAGACATAAAATAACTCACACTGGGGAGAAACCTTATGTGTGCAAGCAGTGTGGAAAAGCATTCACTACAAAGTCGGATTCAAACATACATGAAAGAATTCACACTGGAGAGAAACCTTATATGTGCAAGCAATGTGGAAAGTCATTCACTACACACCGATCTTACCTAGTACATGAAAGGGCACACACTGGAAAGAAACCTTATGTGTGCAAACAATGTGGAAAAGCATTCACTATAAGGACTTATTATAAAAGACATGAAAGGACACACACTGGGGAAAAACCTTATGTATGCAAACAATGTGGGAAGGCTTTCACTACTCAAAATAATTGTCAAAGACATGAAAGAACTCATACTGGGGAGAAACCTTATGTTTGCAAGCAATGTGGGAAGGCATTCACTGCACACCAATCTTGTCAAAGACATGAAAGAACTCACACTGGGGAGAAACCTTATATGTGTAAGCAGTGTGGAAAAGCATTTACTATAAGGAGTAATTATAAAAGACATGAAAGAACCCATACTGGGGAGAAACCTTATGTGTGCAAGCAATGTGGGAAGGCATTTACTACGCATGAAGATTGTCAAATACATGAAAGAACTCACACAGGGGAGAAACCTTATGTGTGTAAGCAATGTGGGAAGGCATTCATCAAACACCAATCTCGGCAAATACATGAAAGAACTCACACTGGAGAGAAACCTTATGTGTGCAAGCAATGTGGGAAGGCATTTACTACACACAGAGATTGTCAAATACATGAAAGAATTCACACTGGAGAAAAACCCTATGTGTGCAAGCAATGTGGCAAAGCATTCACTCAAAGGAATAATTATAAAAGGCATGAAAGAACTCACACTGGAGAAAAACCGTATGTGTGCCAACAATGTGGAAAGGCATTTACTTCACACCATTCTTGTCAAGTACATGAAAGAACTCACTCTGGGGAGAAACCTTATGTGTGCAAGCAATGTGGGAAGGCTTTCACTGAACACCACTCTTGTCAAATACATGAAAGAACTCATGCAGACAAGAAACCGTATGAATATGAGCCCTATGGAAAAAGACTTTCTAGTAAGTCTTCATTTTATATTCATAGATCTCACAATGTAGAGGAACCCTGTGTATATAAACAATGTGGGGGAAGCATTCATTGAACACGTTATTTTTCAACTACATGAAAGATATCACACTGGAGAGTAAAACAATATATGTAAGCCTATTTTGAAAAACTTGTGAAAATTCCTCATATCATGGAGACCTGTACAAATGTAAATGAAAAAGTTGATGTCAATATTTCTTTATGGATTTTCCAGGAAATATTTTGCCAGAGATCTCTAAGAATGTACTATTCCTATGTTGTTCAGTAAGTATCTTGTAAATAACCAAACTATTTATCTGTACTCTACTAGAAACAACACTCATATAATATATTTTATGTAAGCTATTGTATTTGAACCTAATATATAGTATCTTCTAATAATAATGGGTGAACTGTAATGCGTTTCTGATTTTCAAGTATGGTTAGTATTTATATAGTTTTTTTTTTTTTTTTTAGCTATGGGCAAGTACAGTCAGCTAAATAATTCTATTTCTAGTTTTTAATTGGCATTTTCTGCTGGATTTAATTGTAATTTTTTATTCTATACACCTCAAATTCCACATACAGAAATATAACTTTGAATTGTATACATACAGTTGTAAGTGTATGCATATTTAGAAACATATGGACATGTATTTTTTTAAGGAGTCAGTGTGGAAATTCTGCTAAGTACAAAGTATACCTATCCTAATATCACATTTTGGAACAGGAGAAATAATTCCATGATGAGTTTAAGACCATATGGGAACAATAGTGACTTGGACCTTTATTAAAATTCCATTGATTACCTCAACTCCATAGGCCCCTACTCTTACTGGAGGACCACAATGATAGTTTGAATCTTGTAGAATTAGCTTTAGTTGAGAACCACTGTACATTAGTCTCCAAATTCTACATTCTTCAAACTACAGTTATTCTGGTAAATGTCCATAAGCCTTGTTGGAGAGTGATGGAAGAAAGACTGACCATATACAATTTTTTGGTGCTCTTCAAAAGGATGTGTCATTCAACATGTTCTGGGCCTGGAAACTGGCTCATATCTGGGAACTGGTTTAGGGGCAGTGATTCCCACTTAATTCAATCTGCAGTAAGTCTCTGGTTTTTTGTCCTTACATTTATTTTTTGTTTTTTTACTTATAGATCTAGTAATTTTTTTTTTTAGTCTTCCCATCTATTTCATTTTTGGGAACACCGTGGATAATCAGCAAATGCCATAGGTCTACTGCTGTCAGACTATTCTTTTTTTCCCTCAGGTATACTAGCAGATGCTAACTCTACTGGGGAGGGGATGTGTATGCCTAAAACACTGAGGGTATGGGGCTGGTGAGATGGCTCAGTGGTCTAAAGCACCTACTTAAAACAAGCTTAGCAAAGCTCAGGGACCGAGGTTCAATCCCCCAGCACCACATGCCAGCCAGCCCCGCCCCCTGGTGGGCTGAGCTGGCCACACACACACACACACACACACACACACACACGAATTAAAAAAAAAAAAGATTTAAAACAAAAAACACTGAGGGTAGGGAAATTTCTTCCTCTAAGAAAAAAATTCTCAGGAGAGTTTAGATTCCCAACTCTCAGTTTCATGAGGATCCTCCTAAACATTTCCATGGCAGTGTACAGGCTACCCTCTGTTCCAATCAGCCCTAATGTGTACTTCAGATAGTCTTGAAGGCTAAGCATTAAGTTTACACTGTTTTAAGTTAGCCAAATTATGAGGACCTGTGTTTGGTTTTTTCCAGTCTTAGTCAAGTGGCTGAAGGAAAGATTATTTTTCAGCATGCACTTAGATCCTTTTAATTTTATTTTTTCTGTTTGCAGCAAGGAATTTGAATCTTTTGGCTCTTTATTTTGCTTTATTTACCTTCATAGTTAGAAAAGTTTTGATTGTTGGTAGATAGTTTGAGCTAATTGTTGTCCTTAGTTTCTCCAAAGGTGCTATGAGCTACCCACAATCATCATATTTTCTACTTTGCCAAAAATACTGAAAATTTTCATATATAGAGTCACTAAATTCCTTCTATTTCATAAGTGGCAAATTAGGATAATCAAATGGGTCTACATTATTATTTCCCACAGTACTAGAAATAAAGACATCTTTTGATCTCATCAAATTAGAGTCAAATCCAGGAATTTCCTAAGGAGATTAAAGAATTGCATTTAAAGTCAGTAAAAAATTTCTCTAGAGCCACTCACAATACTAAAACCTGTATCAGCACTAACTACAAAAGCAGATTTAATGGACGATGCACCAGTATAATTAAAATATTGGTATACCTTGGTCACTCATATAGTCAGATGTGGAGGAATGCAAAAGCCTGTCCATAAACTAGATATCTGAGCCACCCTGTTGAATGCCTGGAGCCCACTTTGATGTTTTACCCAACTTCATATCAAGAGACCAAATGGTGTTTTCCAGAAGGATGAATGGTCTGTTCTGGAAAATGAAGTCTGCACTGGAAGCCAGGAGACAATGTCCAATGTGAAAGTGAACACCGGAGTTTCTCTGAAGAAAAACAAGCAGTTTTTCAGTTATGTTTCTCTTTTATTACTTTCTAGCAACAATCCTTCCTATTATGGGTCGTCTACACATTAAACTATGCCTTTTCAATTTATGTGGGGACAAGGGTTAGAGCTCATCGGCACAAGCACCTGCCTAGCAAGCACAAGGTTCTGAGTTTAATTCCACTACAAAAAACAAAACAATAACAACAAAACCGTTACTTTAGGTGGGTATTTTTTGCTCTAGTTGACAGAGTTAGTTATTTCAAGTAAGAAATCTCTTAGAAAGTACAAATGATACTATGATTTCTCAGAAATAACATTGTCAAAGGAATTTTTGCAATAGTGGAATTATTTGGTGGGAGGAATGATTCTTAGGGATATCATGAAGCAAATACCTGTAATCTATTTCTTGATATTGGCAATGCCATTGACTTTGGTAATTTTTATTGCTTTTACTAAGAAGGTGAAATAATGCCATGAAAGAAGAGTAACAATTTTGTAAAAAGAGGAAATTCATTAATTTATGACTCAGATTGTGATCTGTTTTATCAATGTTTGAATTTAATTTACCCAATTTTCTTTTCCATTATAAGGAGCAGTGGCTAATAGTTGATGTATGTTAAAGCATTTAAAAGCACATAGACATAAAACTGTGAGCAAGGCGCCACATTGTTCTCCTTGAAATGTACTTTGCCTTTCTTTTTAATAGTTATGTCTTTTGTAAAATGTGTTATATAGTGTTCTTTTAGTGGATACATGGCTATCAACCTATAGTAACAAGAAAATGTAAGTGAGCAATGGATACTCAGAATGCAGTGCACACTGTATAGTTCTAGCCTTAATTATGCTTAGATATATACATAATTCTCAGTTGGATAGTGTCATCTAAAATTGTAGCTACTATATATCTGAGATAATTCATGGAATGTAATATTCTGCAGAATCCATCATCAATTTATTTACACCGTAGAACATGCAGTTAAGTTTCTTTCAGCTCACTTCTGCTTTTTACCATCAACAGGAAAATATGTAGTTTATGCTGCCATCACTATTTCAGCCAGTGGTAGAATGTTTATCTTATTTTATTTATTTTTTTGGCAGAACCGGGGATTGAACTCAGGCCCTTGCGCTTGCCACGGAAGCGTTTATTCTACTGAGCCATCTCCCCGGCCCCTAGAATGTTTAAAATGATGGTATTTTCTTATTATTCAGTTCATTGTTAAAATTTGGAAACTTAATGATCACCTTAATCACATAGAATTTGTACCTGTACATGATATATACTGGTGCCTAGTCTTCCTATTCCCTTTGCTTCCATTCAAACCCTCCTTCCCTGCTTGTCTATAAAGTTTGTTTCTACTTAATCCGTTGTTCTGAATTACTTTGTATTCTGCTCCTTTGTTTCTCCATTCCTAGTTCCACTTTCCTTTTGCAAAATTTCATATTATTTCATATCTTTTATTAAATTTGGTTTTTACTTGTAAGATTTATAAGTTTCTCACACTAGAGATACAATATAGTATTTACACATGTGTGTCTGATTTATGTCATGTAAGAATATTGTCTCAAGGGCAATCCATTTAGATATAAATGTCTTGTTTATCCTAATTTATGGCTGAGTAGTACTCCACTGTATAAGACAAATCATTTTGTCAGTTTATCAGTTGATGGATTTTGGACATGTTTTCAAGAATCAGCTATTATAAACTGCTATAAACATGGGTGCCCACATATCACTGCGGGTGATCTATCACTTTTGATTCTTTCAGGAAGCTACCAAGAGTAGAATAAATGGGTCATATGGAAACCCTAGTCTTAGTTCTTTGATGAATCTCCAAATTAATTTCCACTGTGTTTGCACTCATGTACAACCACCAGTAATAGAAAAAATGTGGGAGTTTTTTCCTCACAGCCCTGACAGTATTTGTTACTGTTTTATATTTTCATACTACAAGTCTTTCTGGAGTGAGATCGAATAAAGGCACAGATTTTCTGGTACTATTCACCAGCATTATGCTGCTGCTGCCTCTCTAGGATTAATCAACACATATCTGGGCTTTCTCAGGCCACCTTCATCCAGTGACTACAATGAAATGCCCTGAAAGGGACATTTCTTTTTCTGTTTTTTTATTTTATTTTTTAAAATTTATTTATTTATTTGCATGTGTGTGTGTGTGTGTGTGTGTGTGTGTGGCCAGCTCAGCCCACCAGGGGGCGGGGCTGGCTGGCTTGTGGTGCTGGGGGATTGAACCGCAGTCCCTGTGCTTTGCTAAGCTTGTTCTAAGTAGGTGCTTTAGACCACTGAGCCATCTCACCAGCCCTCTGTTTTTCTTTTTTTTAAATGTTATTTAATTTTTATTTTTTTTTCTGTTTTCTTGTTTGCTTATTCATCTTGGTTTTAAGTGAGTGATAATTTTTTTTTTTACTTTTTTCTTGCTTTTTTGTTAGATTCTTATGTTGGTCTCTTCTTAGTTTCCCTCCTGTTTTCTTCACCAGTTTCTAAAGTTTGTCTAATATTCGTAGTCTTCCAGTCTTCATTTTAATCCCTTTCTCTTCATCTATTTCTCTACTTGTCACTTAAACTCTTAAATTTTCCCCTCATAGTAGTAACCATATGGAGGAGATATTTACTGAACACGAATTTTTTGTTTTTTAATACATTTTATTATATCTAAATATTTTTCAGAGGGCAAAAGGTGACATATTTATCACTATTATCATTTTTAGGGTGTGTTTTGCACTATTCTTATTACTGTGTGTACTAATTTGTGTTTAAATCAGTTCTTCTATGCCAAGCCTGAGTTTCCCTGAGGGTCATAAACAGTATTATAGGAGAATGCCATAGAAGCAGGAGCAAGGCCAAGTAGGCAGCAATTTCTCATACCCTATAAAATGAAAAGGTACTTTAAACATACTCAAAACCCAAAAGTCAGGTACAACTTGAAGGAATTTCTGAAAAGCAGTCTTTACCTAAAAGATCTTTATACTACCAATTAGGATATCAAACATAAGCAATTTTCACACATCAATTTAGGAAATAAACTAAAAAAAATGAGAAGACTTGAGTGCAACATGCAGTCTGAGATGTCCAGCTCACCAAGGAGAACTCAGAGGGCAAAGAAGTGGAGCAATTCAACAGCTATCCATCTGGACTGTCTGAAGTGATAGTACTAGCAAAATTATCAAAGCGAATGAGATTTCAGAAAATACTCAAATCAGAAACAATTTCTCATGCAACATCAGAGAGAATGACCATAATAAAGGGCAAGGGAATGATTAGTGAATAAAGAAGATAAAGATTTTTTTTTTTAAAAAAAGGACTTTAGTAAAATGATCAAAACCATGAATTTTCAACATAGGAAATGAATCAATGTAAGAGATTCAAATATCCAGGAGATTTAAATTTCTGTTGAATGTTCATGCAGCAGAATGAACCAGTGAGAGGACTAAATATCAGATCTAAAATACAAGATTGATATTAGCATTCATAAGAAGAAAGATTTCTTAGAAATAACAGGGGACCCAAATTTACTGATCAAGGAGATTATGGGGCCACAGAGGAAAGTGATCAATGATGTAGAGTGTGCCTAAGCAGAATCACATGGAGAGAAAACATTCTCTCAGGCTTTCACAGAGAGCAGATTGGTCAAGCAGTGGCTGTGACTCATCCACATGGCTGACACTGACAAAGAATCTACAAACCGCGGTACAGGGTTTCAGGGTAAATCCTGAGGGGATTTGACTGACCTTGTCAGA